AGTTATTATCGCACCTGCAGCGCGTGGGTGCAACAGTGCATCCCCTTGTTGTGTTGACCTATGGAATGTTCAGTCACAAGTTTAAGTACTCCTGTTCATTTGAAATCAAGAAGCACCCATGATGTTTCTAATGTGCTGGCAAAACAGTGGTATGGTTTTGCATCCGTAGATGCTATTACAGCATGGACCTGTTACCTGCTTAATAAATTTCCTTTGTTTCTAGAAGTAAGGACACCGCTGCTTGGTATTATAGTGCCTGCTGTGCACGGGTGTGAATCGATGTTTTGCAAGTAAGTCAGAAGTATAGTGGGTACTCTTTGGTTATTTATAGATGAAGGTATATCATTTTGTGTTCGAACACTCTGTAGGTTCTTGCAATGCAGGTGCTATAATACTATGGAGCTCTGATGTGTTTAACAGGCTTCCGAGGCTTCTAAAAAGTAAGAGGTCGACGAGACCATACGATTAATCAAGTGTTAATAAGAGAAGGGATACTTATGTTATTTTCGTTGGCGGCTTCGAAAACGAGCCTATTGTTAGTAAACTCGGAATACCATGAGCACTTTTTCATAAAATATTCCTTCCCTGATTATCTGCTGAAGGACTCGGAATATATCTCTCCTGGCAATAATTGCGAAAGTCTTTAAGGACCAAAGAACTAGTGAATACGTTTCAAGATATTTTTATCCTAAGCGCTCGCTTGCACGGATTAAAAACTCACATGATTCATACCACGAGGATCGCTTTGGGCTGGAAAGTGGCACACTTGGTACGTCATTACTGTTCCGTAACAGAAGACGACAGTATTGTCGGGGGTCAAAAATGGACAAAAGTCTTAGTAATCCTAAAATGCTGTTTCTTGAATAGTCGTTCTGTCTTCTAAATTTTTTGTCGTTTGAAGCCGTTTAATTGGACCACTGTTCATCTTATGGGTTTTCTCTATTGTTTTGCTTAGATCATGCCTTCATATCATTCCGTACAATTCTTACTTTTTTGGGTGGTAGACTTTTCCTTTAAAGTTCAGTTGATTTCGTGTTTTGTTGTTGTGCGTTCGCTCGAACGGCTGCACAGGTCGAGTGTCGTTTACCTCTTGGCTGTCTGTTTAGAAATCGGCGTTGTCCACCTGCACGCGCGGTTGTTTCCGTTGATGCGCGTCTTGTACGCGAAATTCTTGATTCAAGACCTAGTGATGATGATACTGCGGAAAATGTCGCGATTTTCGTTACACTCACCGTCCTACAGCGAAATGATGACGTGGATGTGCTCGTGGGTAAAACTTCTGCTTTCATCACGTAAGTCGTTTGGTTTTGGTTCGTCGCTCAGCCGTCAGCCAAGCCTGTACTTTCAGGATACCTGAAACACGTTGATGGCAAGGCTGTTCTCGCCGTCGTTCTCGCCGATCCGGGAAGCTTTCCCGAAGAGATCACTAATCTGTACGTATTAATAAAACATCGTCGTAACTGGAATCTGACCGCCTTTGCATTTGGACGTTACTTTGGCATGCTTTGCGTAGATGTTACGTTCGCAGTTTCTTATTTTTGTGCTTAGTTTCTTGCAGCTGGAAAATTTTTGACTTACTCTGAGACAGTAAGTCACTCACGAAATGGTAGCAGAAGGTTTGTCTTGTAGCAAGGACGTCAGCGATATTTGATGTAATGGTTTTGAGCCTTCAGTAGAAATCCGATATAATGTGACTAATAAAAAAAGTTTAGTACCAATGTTTCAATCATACAACAGCGTTCTTTTCCAAGGTAGAACGAAAACTGGAATACACAGTACGACAGCATGCATTGCAGTGCAGCTGTTGTAGGCGACATGGTAGTTTAGTAAGGTTGAGTAAGTAGATTGAGTAAAGCAACAGTTTAGTTGCCATACTTTAGAAATATCAAGGTAGTTGTAGCAGTGATTACTCATTTGATTTTATTAATTAATATATTCATTTATTCTTTGTTGACGAGTTCGAAGTCTTGTTTTGCTATCAGTCACTGATGCATCTCAATCGGCTATCTCATTAATATGCTGTAAAAGAAGTGCAACGAAGCCGAAGTGCGATAGCTCTGCTGTGTTCATTAAGCTTATTTATTGATGTCTTCCCAATATAAATGTAGTAAAATTTATTTCAGTTTTTATAATAAGCAACAATATTTGATAGCACACTTTAGCGATATTGAAACATTTCTTAATATGCTGAAGCTTAACTGAAGTTTCTTGGGAATAAAACATTGATGCCTCTTTTTTAGATATTCT